GGTATATGCAGAGAACAGCAACTACTTTTATCCCAGCTACCCCATTCCTATTACGCCCTCTTTCTTTCCTATTTTCACCTACCTCCTGGGGGTAACCAGTTTCTTTAGTTTCTGGCTTATCCTTCCTGTATTTCTTTAGCATAAATAAGCAGATATATGTATATCCCCCTTTTACATAAAGGCAGCATACCGTAGCTATTCTGTTGGGCTTTGTTTACTTTTATTTAACAGTGTATTCTGGAAATCAGTATCAATTGGTTGAGATTTTCCTCCTCCTTTTTTTTACAGCTGGATAATAATTATGTATAGATATACTATACTTTTATTCAATCACGTTCCTATATATGCACATTTAGGTTGTTTCCAATCTTTTACCATTATAAATAATAACTACATTGAATAATATTGTGCATATATCTTTTCATATTGTTGGAAATGGATCTTCAGAGTAAATTCCTAAAAGGGGATTGCAGGGGTGAAAAATAAGCACATATGTAGTTCTGTTAGGTCTTGCCACACCTCCCTCCAGAGGCTCGTACAAATTTGCATTACCACCAGCAGAGTGTGGCACCCTTTACCCACATTGTAATCAACAAGAATATGTTGTCATATTTTAAAATTTTTGCCACTCTGGTAAGTGAGAAATGGTATATTGGTGGTGTTTTACTTGGCATTTCTCTATTAAGTGAATTTAAATGTTTTCCTCGTGCTTGGGGGTATTTATACCATTTTTTAATCTGTTCATATCTTTTTTCTGTTTTTTCATTGGATTTCTGGTCTTTTTGTCCCTTAGTTATTAAGAATTCTTTTTATTTTTTTTTATTTTTTATTATGTTAATCACCACACATTACATCATTAGTTTTTGATTAATTCTTTATGTATTAGGGATATTAGCCCTTGTAGTATATGTAGCCAGTATTTTTTTGAGTTTATCAATTTTTTTACTGTTTTTTTAATTCTTTTTATTTTTACACAGTTAAATTTCTTAATCTTTCATTCTCTTTGAATTTTGAATCATAGTTAGAAGGTCTTTCCCTATACCATGGTTAAAGAGGAATTCATCATATTTTCTTCTAGTATTTTTATAGTTTTATTTCTTACATAAATCCCTAGTCCATTTAGAATTTTATTTTAGTGTGAGGTAGAAGATATGGATCTAATTTTGTCTTTCTTCCAAAGGCTACCCATCTGTACTTACACCTTTCATTTATTTACAAATACATCTTTATCCCAAAGATTGGAGATGTCATCCATGTCATATTCTAAATTTCTGTATGTATTTGGGGGGATACATCTAATACTGGACTTTTTTTTTTTTTAAAGGTTTTATTTATTTAAGAGAGAGAGAGAATGAGAGATAGAGAGCACGAGAGGGAAGAGGGTCAGAGGGAGAAGCAGACTCCCCGCTGAGCAGGGAGCCCGATGTGGGACTCGATCCCGGGACTCCAGGATCATGACCTGAGCCGAAGGCAGTCGCTCAACCAACTGAGCCACCCAGGCGCCCTAATGCTGGACTTTTTATTCTGTTGCAGTGATCTACCTGTCTAGTATAGAGGCTGTATATGATGTTTTAATGTCTGGTAAGGCTACTGCCTTCTCATAGTTTTTCTTTTCCATTGTTTCCTTGGGTGTTAGTGCATGCTTGTTTTTACATATGAACTTTTTTTTTTTACATTTTTTAAATTTTTAAAATTTTTAATTTTTTTAAATTTTTAAATTATTTTATTTTATTTTTATTATTTTTTATTATTTTTAATTTTTTTTAACATATGAACTTTAGTATTTATTTGGCAAGCTCAGGGTTTCTCAAACTCAGCACTACTGACATTTTGAGCTAGATATTTCTTTGTTGTGGCAGGCTGTTCTGTGCATCGTAAGATATTTAGCAGTATCCCTGCCCTCCACCCAGTAAATGTCAGTAGCACCCATCCACTTAAAACAATCAAAAATATCTCTAAATGTTGCAAAATATCACACAGGAAGCGAAATTGCTTTGAATTCAAAATGACTGGTCTAGCTTGCTGGTATTTTTATTGGACTTGCATTCAATTTATACCTTAATTTAGGGAGAACTAACATCTTTGTATTGAGTTGTGCTGTGTAAGAACAGGAGATGTCTTTGTATTTATTCAAGTCTTCTTTTGTAACTTGTAGAAGTGTTTTAAAATTTTCTTCAAACGGGTTTTACATGTTTCTTGTTATTAAATTGATTTGTACGTATTTAGTCTTCTCGGTTGCTACTGTAAATGCACATGTAACTTGGACATGTAAATCATGCTCAGTATTTATTTATGAGTATGAAAGGTGTTGAATTCTGTGTAAGTTTATAACTTGCTACTTAACTAAATTTCTTTTATTATCTATCTCATTGATTCTCTCAAGTAAAACTTAATGGAGGAGGAATACCATGATACCATCTGAAAATAGAGTTAGTTTTACTTCTTTACCCATTCATATGCCTCTGATTGATTTCTCTTGTTTTATGGCATTGGCTGGCTAATACCTCAGGTACAGTTTCACATATTAATAGGAATAGTGGGCATTCTTGCCTCGTTCCTGACTTGAGTGGTATTTCCACTCTGTTGTCTCCCCATTAAACAAGATAATGACTTTAGTATTAAAATAAGTATATACCATTTATAATATTGAGAAAATGTCCCCCAATGTCTATTGAGTGTTTTAATCATGGATGAGTGTTGCATCATGTCAAAGACTTTTTCAGTATCCATGAAAAATTTATATGCTTTATTTCCTTAGATTTATTAACATGGTGTATGATAATAGGTTTTCTAATACTGAACCGAACTTGCATTCCTGGAATAAATCTCACTTGGTCATGGTGTATGTTTTTTATAATGTGCTGTTGGATTTGCTTTTATAACTATGCTGTGAGTACTTGAGAAGAATATGTACCCTCTTTTATCAGAGTGTAGAGTTTGATATATATTCATAGGATTTACCCCTATATCTTTTAGATCTTCTATCTCCTTATTTTTTTTTTGCCCACTTCATCTATCTTACACTGAGAGTATTTTATATTAAAATCTCTTATTATTGTGTTCCTATCTGTCTCCATGCATCTCCTGTAGTTTTTGCTTCATAAAGGTAGTTGCTGTGCTATTTGGTACATAAACATCATAATTACTATATACTCATAGATGATTAATCCACATTGTGGATTAGGACTTCTACTATTGAAAATGTGCCCTTTGTCATAGTCAGTGCTTTGGGACTTAAAGACTTTAAAAAATATATTTGTATTACCTTCTTGTTAACTTCTGCTACCCCTATCCTCAGTGCCTAAAATGATCATTCTATAATACACTGCAAGCAGTTTCATTCAGGATCTCTTCTCACTGGGGGCCTATCAGAAGCTGTGATATATCTGCTGGATGCCATCCAAAAAGAAAAAAAAAGGCAGCTGGTTTGTCATCATTCTTAGTATTTATACTAATGTTCATTGTGATATTTGCTTTTAAAAAATTTACCAACTAAACCATTTACCAAATAATCTGCATGCCCAATAGATCTAAACTAAAATAGAATACTATTTCATTACAGCATTTTGCTGTATTTAGAAAGGTAGCTCTTCTAAAAGAATTTAATTCTATCTAATTACTCAAGGCAGTGGTATCATTGGCTCTGGAGAGGGGTACAGAGGAGGGAAAGAGACCTACTCGATAGCTAACCATTATACCTTTGTAATTTGGGACCATGTGTATGTATGTCATCTAAAAAACATGTGTAATGTAAAGAACAAATACAACTCCACTTTTTGCAACATGATATACTAGGTGCACGATCAAACTAAAAATAAAATTACTGGGTAAAATATTAAAAAACAAAACAAAAGCCAAACAAAAAAACCCCTTGAACATATTTATTAGCTAGAAAAGAAGAAGAAAGAAAGCTCTCATTAGAGACTGAATGAGAGCAGGAACCCAGAGAGGTAGGTGGACTCTGAGACTGGCTTTTGCCCAAACGTATTTACCAAACTAGGTGAACCTAAATGTTGGATTCACAGCCTTATGGGGCTGGGGACAGAAGGCATATCCTAGGGTTTAGCTAAAATGAAAAGTCCAATAGTAGATCACCTTCAATAAAGTTGAGCTACTTTCTCAGTAGGAGAGCAAACTAAAAATAACCTTCCCACCAGCTTTTTTAAGCCCCAAGAGATAACTCTGGTACTGAACTGAGGAGGAAAAAAATCTTCTGAGAATTCATAACCAAAATCAAACTCTCATGCATTGCAGCTGGAATTCATAATATCTGGAAGTCACAGAAAACTCAAGCTGAGGATTTAGTATTAGCCCATGACTTGTAGTGCCCCCTCTTGTCCATCAGAAGCAAATGCAGATATTTTCTAGAGCTTTCCCTCATCTCAGTCCTCAACAAATTTTCTACAGATAAAATTCCAAGGGAAATGAACAGTTAGCTCACAGTAAACACTACACACACAAGGAAACAAGGTACCAGCAGAAACAACTGATAGCAGAATTAGATACAGAATGTAAAATAAGAATGTTTAATGTTTCAGTGAAGGAGAGACTTGGAAGTGAATAAAGGTGTTGAAAAAAAAACACCTTTACTTTGAAGAAAAGCAAGGAAGAGATGAACACAGTTCAGGATAGTGATTACTTCTTGGGGGACGACAGGGATGTGATCAGAAAGGGGCACACTGGAGACTTCTGAGGTGTGGTGATATTTTATTTCTTCTTAGATTGGGTGGTAGGTGCATCAACATTTATTAATTGTTTTTAAGTTGTACATTTTCATGTATTCTTCTATGTATGCTGAAGTTCATAATAAAAAAATACGTAGTAAAACATGTAATGTGTGAAATCTAAGTTGGTCAGTTTTTCTTAAACCTTATTTTATAATTCCTACTATCATAGAGTATTCCAGATATATGATACAGGAGTTTTCTTCTCCATGCTTCATAGCAAAAGCATCAGCTTTGAGTTATTATTGTTCATCTTCCCTTTTTTCTACTCTGCAGGAAGATGAGAAGATGAGGTGAATGTGTGGATTCTGGTTTTTTTGAATTCTCAAACCATACCAAGTCAAAACAGGGATATAACAAGGACCCAAAAGATGAAATGTATGATGAAGGCTTCCCCCCCGCCCCGCCTTTTCATGAGTATTAATTTATCTATTCTTATGTTTACATATATGTGTATAAAATAGCTATTTTGTAATATTAAACTTCTAAAATCATTTTGGTCATCCTATAACTTATGTTCCTGTTTTTGTGAACTTCTTTCAACCTAACAGCCTTTAACTAAGCAAAAGCTGTTAACCTTTTAACCAAATAAAATGTGTTATAAATATTTTGGCATTGGTTATCTTGTTGTATACCAAACTATCTTGTTTTGTTTTATTTTTAAACCATCCAATATATTTGATCACCTAGAAGATTTTTAAAAGTTGCCTTTTGCCTTGGCCAGTTTTCTGTCACCCTTCATTCTTATACTTTCAGAAATACCTGTTAGATGTCAATTTCTGTATTATTTCCACTCTCTAATCTGATGACTTGGCTGAGGGGCTTAACCTTTAAGGCTCTTTTAAATTTGGTTTTTATAACTTTAACTTTATTTTAAAGAACCCTTACTATACTAGTAGTAGAAAGTAATAAATCCTATTGATGTCTGAGATCTATGAACATAGTTTACTGTATTCAAATGACAAGTCAAATTCTATTCTGCCTAGATGGAAAAGCTTACTTAGAGGGTATGTGACATATAAAAGGGTGAACTCAGTGTTTTTAACAAACACTTAAGATCATTCTGGGGCAGACTGTCCTAGGACCAAACTTTGAGGAATTGCTGTAGGAATACAGAGTCCCACGGAACTTACTCATAATATCAACAATGTGGGTTGAATGGAGGCCTTATTAAAGGAACAGTTTACACAAAGATTAAGAGCCTGGCACCCTGACAATCTTTGTTCTCTTTCCTATACACCTATTACTTGGAGACTGTGGACCTCCTAGAGGCAGTTTTCAGTATTATATTTTTGTCCCTATTGCTTATTTCTATTTTTCCTCCTTTCTATGAGATTTTTCTTTTTTTCCCTTGCCATGTAACTTATTTTTCAGTTTATGTAGTCAAATTTATCAACCTTTTATTGCTGGTGGAATTTGGTCACAGTAAGAAAGAGTTTTCCTACTTCCAGATTATAAAGACATTTACCCATGGTTTCATTTTGTTTTACATTTAAATTTCTGATTCATGTGGAATTTTTTCTATTAATGAGATATGAATGCAACTTCAACCTTTTTCCAAATGACTCCCCCATTAATGAGAAGGTCCATGATTTGAAATGCTACCCTTTTTTATGTTGTATTTCCATGTGCACTTAAATTTATTTCTCAATTTTCTCTTGTATTGGTCTGTGTGTCTGTTTATGCCCCACTACTGTACTCTATAGACTTTAGGGGGAGTATCGAAGTTTCTCTCTCCTAGAGCTTTTACACATTTCTTAATAAATTTATGCCTAGGAATTTAATTTTTTTCTTGGTAATATAAATAGAATCTTCCCTTTGAGTCTCTCCTAATTATTTGCATATATATGTTCATTATTGATTTCTGTATGTTAATTACTGAACATTTGTTGTTTGTAGTATTTTCCAGACATATGTCCTGAAAACTAAGTTAACTTTACCTCTTTTTTTTCCCCTTCCAAATCTTATGCATCTCATTGCTTTCTTTTGTCTAATTAATTGTATGGCTGCTACCTTAAGTAAAATGTAAAATTGTAGCGAGAATAGGTATCCTTGTATTGTTCCTGATTTTCATGGGAATGCCTCTGGTTTTACCCTAATAAGTAAGATGCTGGGTTTTAAGCTGGTTATGTATAATTTATAATCACATTAAAGTATTGTCTATCAATTATTTTATTGAGTGCTTCTTAAAAAAATCATGAATAAGTGTTGAATTTTTGTCAAGTGACTTTTGACATTGATAGAGACTGTATGAGTTAGGGTCCAGCCAAGAGACAGAAACCACAATTATTTTATAAATTGTTAGCCATATAGTACAGAACTAAACAAGAACTGAAAAGGCAAAAGGGACCCCTGGAGTGTCCTAGAGGAGGTAACTATGGGAAGTACTCTGGGGCTGGGGATGCAAAGAAAAAAGAATGGAATTATTGAAACCTAAAGGCTTGGAGGAAGAGTTCCAGGACTCTAGGGAAGGTGTGCAACGAGTTTCCACTAAACTAAAAGTTTAGTGCTGTTTCCCTGATGGGCTATGACAAGACTGGTCTGATAGTGTGGAAAAGCTGCAGACTGGAACCATCTGTTGCTTCTGAAGTCCGTTGTTCCCGCCAGGGTGAGCCATTTGACAGGAACAAGTAGCAAACAGGAAGGAGCAAATTTCTTTTTCCTCCTCCATACTTGCAGTTTGCTTCTATCTCCTGTTGCCGGAGACTGAAAGGGAGCCTGCAAAGGAAAAAATGGGGTTTTGCAAAGGCCTGGCCTTAACGGAGTGAAACATGTGGATTTGAAGCTGAAACATAATAGCTTAATAGTCAGCACAAAGGGATATGATTATTCTCCTTAGGTATGTTCATAAAACTATATTCACTGATTTGTTGATACTGAAATATTCTTACTTTCATGGAATAAATTCGACTTTTTAGTATGTGCCAGCCATTTTCTCTCACCTCCAAGCCCACCTCTTTACAATTTGCTATCTGATTCTGGAACTCCACAAATCACTTTTTTTTTTCTTTGCTAGCTGACTTTTTAAGCTTCTGTCAACAAGGGGTGATAGAGACAAAATCAGAAAGGACAAAAGACTTGTTCCTTTTTTGCTTGTGTTTCCTGTCAACATCCCCTCAGCAATGGTGATTTCCTCGGGGGCAGCAGTTGGTTTGTCACCAGTTGGTTTAGCATTCCTAGAACCGGCCTCATGATGTCCCCATGGAGGTATCAGCACTACTTGGACTGTGCCCCTCACAGGCCTCAGGCCTAGCTCCTCAGGGAGCCTCCTTCAAGCTCCTGAGGTATCCCAGCCATCTGTGCCACAAGCCCTCTTTGAGATCTGCGTTCTGACTCCTAGAAGCCCTTTCCTAGCTCCTGAGGTATTAAACAGTGGCTGAGCAGGACCCTCTCCTCAGTCACCAAGGTTCTAGGTTCTAATAATCCCAGCCTCTTCCTTTTTATTACCCAGCTGATTCCTATGGTACATTGATGGAGGGAATGCAAAATGATACAAACTTTATAGAAAAGATTTTGATAATATCCAGCAAAATTACATAGGCATATACAATCATACAACCCAGTAGTCTCACTTTTAGGAAACTATAGTGAAAATTCTCTTGAAAAAATACAAAAATTTCAGGGGCACCTGGGTGGCTCAGTGGGTTGAGCATCTGACTCTTGATTTGGGGTCAGGTCATGATCTCAGGGTCATGAGATCAAGCCCCATGTCAGGGTCCGTGCTCAGCGGGAAGTCTGCTTGGGATTCTCTCTCCCACTCCCTCTGCCCCTCCTCCCACTTTTTCTCTCTCTAAAATAAATAAATATGTTTTTAAAAAATTTCACTATAGTATGGTTTGTAACAGCAAAAATGGAAAAAAGGAACAACCTAAGTAACATCACTGGAGGACAGCTAACTTGAAAACCAACTAAAATGAATGAAAATAACTATCAAGTTGGTGACAGAGATACTCAATCTTACAAAAGGTATTTTGAATTTGTATCTTTATTAGGATATACTCTAAGGGTAAAAAGAACTATAACAAAATTTTAAGCTTTCATTTACTAGTCTCATTGCTGCTATAATGTTGATGTGGCTATTATGAAATAGATCTAAGGACAAATTAAAGAAATTAGATTTCAGAAACTTCAGAATCTTTGGTTGCAGGATCAAACTCTGCAATCGTAAATTTTAATTAGAAATATTAGTGTGAACTCATGCTTTTTTGCACTTTTAAAAAAGTTATGTATTTTCTAGCTCTGTCCACTAAAAATGTTTAGAAACAATGATGACTGACTAGCAATGAGTACTTCTAGCATCTAGATTGTGGTTTCTAAATACTATTTCCCATCACAGAGACCAGGGCTCTTTGGAGAAATGGCTGATTCCAAGTTTGGGGCAGTATATAAACAAGGTGAGCCTGGGATGTCTTGTACCAGAAAACAAGGACATTATTAAAAATGAATGTGACCATATCAAAAGGACACAAGTTCCAATTTGAAGGTGCTTCCATTGGCCTAAGATGGGACAAACTCAACATTGGTATGAAAGATTATAACATTAAAACACGTTATACAAAAAGTCACAAATTCATAATAATTAAAAAAAGAAACAAAAACATCGGATGCTCTGAAAATTCGTAAGAGGAAATAATAAAGATGTATTTTGCCTTTCTGATATTAATTCTATTTGTGCATAGTCAATAGCTCTAAAAATAGTGATAGTTCTGTTCAAAAGAATCTCAGCTGAAGAATGCTGAAGGAATGTTAGAGTTAGGAAAATTACCATTTTGCAACCTCCTAATAAAATAACTGCTTCAGACAGTGGTCAGCAATGTATGGTGAAACCATGAGGTGAGATGTTGATGGAGAAATTCATTATGAAGAGATAACCCATTGAACCCACTGACCAATCTTAGCATCATTAAGAATGAGACAACCAAACAGCATAAGCCTCCTGATGTGCTGCAATGTCAAGTGTATGGCACCACCTATGAAGTCTTCTCATTACCTCCCCCAACCCCAAAATTTAATTGGAATTTAATCAAGGCTTTGGAGCAATAGGCATGATGTGATTTGAAGTTTGGGTCAAGTAGCCAATGACCAGGAAAGAATTCTTGAGATGTTTTTAATACAAAGGTGATTTTATTATAGCACAGGAACAGGACCCGTGGGCAGAGAGAGCTGCACCTGTGAGTGTGAGGAGTGACTGACTATATACTTTTAAGTTTGTGGAGGGAGGGGAGGGAGAGAGAACATTGTTTTTAAGGAATTTCTGTATGCTGAAAGCAAGGTCTTACAGAACCTTGAAGATTTAGCTACTGTCAAGATAAAGTTGCTTTTAGTCTTTAATAAAACAAACATTGAGGCATTAAGGCGGCCATGATTCCTTGAGGAATGTCAGGCTCTGAGTGTTTCAGGTATCAGTGTGCTGCAAGCTGTAAGGAGATTTCATTTAGGCTACATTTCTCTTTGTTTTCCTCACCATTTTTCCCCTGAACAGTTTTGACCCTTCAATCTTTAAGATTATTGAGGGTAAAAGGTCTTACCTTTTGTAACTCCTTCCTGCTGAATCGGGGCATAGAGATGTCCCTACCTATGAGTCAGCATCAGTTGAGGATGTAGGAG